CTGTACCAGTTAATTAGCCGTGCAATAACATCCACGGAAAGTACCCCAGTTAAGAGCAGCAAACGTACTCTCGACACGCCGGACAAAGCCAGTCCAGCATGGAGAAAATCCAAAACCGTCCGTGTCAATTCGCCGGCAGCGAAGTCACCCTCGATCGAAAGTTCCACGTCGGCAAAGGGCAAATCAAGAAAGTCTCTCTCTTTCACGGAAAATCACATGCCGTCCACTGTATCGAAAAGGGAAGATGAGATGCTACATCGATTGAATATTGATGATTTGCCCAATGATGGCATGAAAATTGTGTACATGAACCCCTCAGGAAATGTGGTTGTCAGAATACCACGTAATGAACAGACGAAGGCTGTGGTTAAAAACATAGCAATGGAGAAATGGCGCGAGGCGTCTAACTTTATTTTGAAACACGAGGACATTGCACCCGAAATCAACAAGGGCATCTCCAAAACTGTGTCAACTGAGTTTAACATGTACTTAAAATCGGGAAGTATGTTAGAAGCCCGAAATCCGGACGAACTTGCCGGCTTCTCGAACAAGCTGTTCCTGGAAGAGATACGAATTTACTGCCCCGTGTGGTTTCAAACTCTGTTAGGCGCAAGTGGACTCGCGGAAGATGATGTGAAGGAATTTGGAAGGGATGTCAATTCCCTTGCTTTTGCGACGGCAACTATCGCTCGCGTGAGAAATTTTAAAGCCTCAGCGATACACCATCGCATTTCATCAATCATGTTTCACAGCGGGGTAAAGCACGACGATTTAATTCGGCTGAATCGTTTGGGGATTTGCATGAGTCCAGACACCATTGTCATGCAGCAAAAGAAGATGAACGAGCAGCTGGAAGGAAAAATCCGGATTTGGAAGGCTACAATTGAGGAAAATCGTGGCGCGTTAATGTTAGCTCAAGAAGTCCTCCAGAAACAAGACTCTACCGCACCCAGAGTAGACGTCAGCGCCGCGGTACTCGAACCTTACAATTCCTACTCAGCTCCCGGCTTCAGAGCATTGACAGCTATGCTCAATAAAGAACTTAAGAACGGAGGGTTGGCTTTCTACAATGTCAACTGCTTACAAACAGTCATTGAAAATCTCCAAACTGCAACACTTCCTTTGTACAAGTACGTAAAAAATTAATTTATTTACTCGAAAGTTGATGTAAGCTTGATTTTTCTTTTCACTATTGAAGTCTGGGCTCTTGGCTTTTCTTTATTTTTCGTTTCTCTCCTGCGTTACGTGTGAACGTTATTATTGTGCATTTTTTACATCCGTTTATAAATTCGCTTATTTAATAAGAAATCTTTATACTTGCACATGAAAATATTTTTAAAAAGATGCTGCGTTTTTGTTGGTGTTTTGGTACACATGGATAAGCAATAATAATCTGAAAAAAGCGTTGAGTATCAGAATAATATATTCTCTTTGGTCCTCCCACAGACTGGTAGGGGACAACATTGACTACGAAATTCATGCAAGGGTGCAATCCCAAAAACACAAGAACCGATCACTCCATTGGACGCACCAGTTTGCAGTCCTTGACAGAGTTCAAGACCCCACACTGGACACCAACAAAAGCCAGAAGACAGTTGCTGATATTCAGTTGTCTGAGATACTTCCAGACAGAAATGTTCAGTCACGCCTTGTGAGAAATTGGGCAGTCATAGTCAGTAGAGTGGTTACCAAGTACTTAGACCCATTTAAGCCCTTCCAAGGTTTGGTTGTCAGGCACATTCCACACAGGTACAGCAAAGAGATGTCTCAAAAATCTGACTCTGTAAGTTTATTTGAGCCTTAATTATTTTACTGAATAGGATTGAAGCTGCCCTTTGACCTTCAGTAGGGGACAATGGGTGCCATTTCACATGTCAAACTGTAGGTAATGCATATTACTTACCTTTGATCAACTACTACTGTACTGATGAGTTTCTGGGGTGGGTCAGGTGCGTATCCACACTGGTTTCCACCGTTTTATGGAAATCACTCAGAGTTTTTATAAATAATTAAATTTTGCATTGAAAAATTTTCCAAGTTAAAATCTGGCCAATATGTTGTCTGAAATTACTCAGAAACCCAGGAAAATTGACTTTTGGATTTCACACGAGTACTTGCCCCTGGACCCACCTAGAAGCTTACACCTTTGGTGCTCATTTTTGAAAACAGTATTTATCCTAGGTCTGCCCCTTTGGGTGGAGTGAGGGTCAAAATTACACATTTATCACTCTGCTCTTTACCAGTATCCCTGGTTTCCAAAAACATAAATCAATTAATTTTACCTTGACAACATTATAATCAGTTTCTCTCAAGTGATAGTTTTATTGTATTATTCTCCTCTAAATGTGGATACTTTCTTTGTTTTAGTGTTTTCTTGGGATGCAGTTTTTAAATCCAAATGTCTCAGGAGACATGGCCCAGCTTCTGCAATATAACCAGGAGAATTATGTGCCCTGTTTGGCAGTGGGGGCCGAGAGGAGAATCCTCACCCAGGTGCCTTTCCATGGCGACCAACTGTTTGAGGAGCGGGCAAGAAATGTTATCTGGACCTTTCGTGATGGAGTAAATGACTATGAGAGGCTAGGAGGAATTGATACAGAGTTTGCTGACTGGCATGCTAAGTATACATTGTACAAGGTGAGTTGAGCCTAAAGATCATCTTAAACAATGAAAGCATATCGAGCATAATCTCTGCATTACTAAAAAAATATAATATTTATATAATAATCTTGCAGGCACAATTAGATACATAACTGCAACTACCACTTAAGCCACATCATCATAATATTCTACACCCAATTTTACCATTTTATTTCTGACATTAATCTAATAAAATCAATTTTTTGTGAAAAAAATATTGAAAATAATATTTTTTACAAGAACTTGACAGGGACAATAAAAAAGCTGACTCCTACAAGCTGTCAAAACTGTATTCAGTTCATGGACAGAAAATTCTACTTTCTTCAATTTAGACTGAGTTCAAGATGTTTGTAGACCATTCCTCTTCAGCTGAAATAGGTACTTCAAGAGCAAGCATCAACAGAACTGGCAAGACAAATGCAGCCAAGGGCGTTGAAAACCACTACAATGAGTACAGTGAATTCCATGCCAGAGAGATTGAGGCACACATATGTGCATCTTTCATGGAAATGGTTGGAATGCATAAAATTTCAGGTAAGAAAGCATTTTGAAAGACTGATAATCCACATTCATCAGAGATGCACATACTAACGTACAGGCTTGAATAAAACAGACTAGCTTAAAAGCATAATGTTTTTCAAAGGTGTGCCCATGCAGCTCAAAGCTTGGTTTACACCTTTGTTTGAAAAAAAAAAGAGGCTGTGAAAACATTTGAATCTAAGAATGATGTAACTTCATGTTAAAAGAATATTACAACAATTTCTTTACAACTGTATTAATTTATAATATAATTCTTATTTTGCTTTCCATAAATGTAGATAAACCAGGTATACCAGTACCTGATGCATCACTCTCCAGACAGACAAGGGCTAAGTGGCTTCTAGAAATATGTGAGGAACATGTGAACAAATATGTACTTAACAAAGATGAGCTGACATCCTTAATTGCACAAACCACTGAACTGGAACAGGCACTCAATCAAGACTCGACGTGGACCTGCCGAGCAGATGGCTGTGGTAGGACCTATGCATATCACTCTGGAAGAGTAAGGTAATGAATAATTCGAGTAATTTATAGTTAATTATATTGGATACACAGAATGAAATGGTGCCAGCAGATATGAATATAGGTCATACCTACTGCCTTGAAGACATGAAGATTATTTTACAAACATAACAGATGGAGTTACTAAATTACTTTAGTTTAGGGGCTTGGAAAAAAAGCAAGAGGCTTAAAATAATATTACTGTGCAACTGAAAATTATTTGATATGCAATAATAGTTGACATTACTTAACTATTGCAGGCATGAAGTTGAGGTGCATGACTTGTCATTTGACAGTGGTCAAGATGTTAGAGATCCATATGGCTACTACTACTGTAGAGTACGGTGTGGATTTGTTTTCAAGACCAAAGCAACAAGAAACAGGTAGGGACAAATTTTATAAACACAGGTTGTTGACCTAGAATCTTCAATTGAGGCACTTGACCAGTTGTTAAAATTGTTATTAAGAAGGTATTGATATTCTTGGTAGGCATGAAGAGCAACAACATGGCCAAACAATTGTTGATAATGACAATCTACAGGAAGAAGGCCGAGAAGACTACATATTCAACTATCATAGTGCTAAGCTTGCATTCGGATTGGTCTTATTTGAATTCAATGATGCAGTTAAGGAGGGTGATGGTGAAAGGCTGTTTGACCTCTATAAATTAGCATTGTTGCTCTACAAAACCCACCATCACTACAAGTATGCATATGCAGTACTCTTGTACCTGGTTAAGTGCATTGCCATACTTCCCCCATCCCAGGCACTAAGGTTGAAGTGGAACCGTTTCTTCAATGTCAGTGGCCTCCCTGGACGAAACATTCCCCTAGACTTGAAAAAAGAGCATGACAACAAAGACATAAAAAGCATGTGGCGTAACCTTGGTGCTAACCTTGACGAGCAGAATGCTGAGAGGACAGCCGGAACATTGGGAGCAATACAGCTTGTCTATCATTCAGTTGACAGAGACTGTTCTGTAAAAGAACAGCATTTTGGAAGAAAAACTCCTAAAGAAGAGGAAGCTGTTAACCAAGTCATTGTTGACCTGCTATGTAATGAAGCCTTTCAAAGGACACCTGGTAGAGAGGGTTATGCATCTTTTCCCAAGTTCGAACGAAGCATCCTACATGGTCTTGACTACAGGGATTTGCACAAGTGGCTAAAAGAACACATTGACCTGTGGGGTTCAATATATCAACAGGAAAGATAATCCATGAACTTAAGTAAATCACCACACAACCAGTAACCTTGATTGGCCCAGTATCTGTTAAGATTAATAATATTTAAAATAATTCAAATTTCCCACTAGGGTTTTTAGTACTAGTCAAAGCCATGTACATTGTTGTTTGTTAGAATAGTAAACAATATGTTTATTATAAACATGTTTTTATATTAATTTTACATTATACAAAATGGCAACAGGTCCAGTTCAGATGCAATTTCCTCGGACTGGATATTGTAACATACAAATATCAAACATATCAAAACAGTCAGCCCATAAGAGGATCATTCTAATTTGACAAGCATATACAGTGTGTTTGTTCTTTGTAACTATATCTCAACATAAACTTGTACTATAAGCATGTACATGGAATGTTGTTCTACATTTGACAATACTACAGGATGAAAAAAAAAAAACCTAAGCCCATCACAGACGACAGTGTATGCTAAAAATCAATTACCTGTATTTACAAAATATGTACATAGCTAATACGAGGCATTTCATCATATATGGAACCACGAGGATATAAATCAGGGATTTGGCTTAGTAAAAAAAGAGGTTTATATATAAGCAACGCCAACTCAGTTCATTCCAATTCAAGAGTGATTTGAGCCAGAGGTAGGATCATTTCCCACTGAAGAAATTTGTTGGCACTTTCGTCTTAGCTAAATCCCTGATAAAAAGGCAAATTTTGTAACGTCTATTACCTTTTTAATGCCATACCTTTATGGGACAGCCAGGTACAATATTCAGACAACACGTATACCAGTACCCTGCTACTGGCTTCTAATAGGAACACTGTCATACATGTATTATTATTACTCTATGTCATGTGCTTACAAAAAGAAAAGAAAGCTGTCAGTTTACAAATTTGCCCATACTTCTATGATTTGTTGATGAATCAATTTCAAGGTAGAGAAAATCATATTATCCCTCTAACTCATACCAATACATACCAGAGGTCTACAATTCTGGAAGATCAGTCTCACTGTCACTGTCTATGCCTAATTCAATAGCATCTAAATCAAACCATTCAAAGGCATCTTTTAAATTGGTTTCAACCGAACTCAGTTTGAGCAGTGTCAAAGTTTCGTCCAAGTTTGGAATGTCCATAAACACTTCCTGTATAACTTCTAAAATCCTCAGAGCATTTGATGTAGAAAAAACAGGGTAACTGGTCAAAAGGTCTTGAAGACTAAATATGGACTCACAATTTCTTGTAACATCCTCTATAAGTTGAGTTGAGAAACCATGACTAGAGCTGTCATCTAATGCAGGCCCCTCAGCTCTTAAATCATACAAGACCTCATACAATGCTTCTTTTAATGTTTCTCTTTCCTGGGGTGTCACTTTTCTCAATTTCACATCATTGCCGTCACTGTCCTCAACTGCTGCATTAATAGCCTCAAAAGGCAAAGGTTCTGCATCACAACTTTCACCAGCACACTTACAGATTGACGAACAAAAAGAACAGCAGTCATGAGGAGGTTCCAGAGGTTGAATCGTGTCATCCAATGATTTATAGGCAGCAACACGAAAACAGCCTTTAGTACGGACAAAATCTTTGATCTGTTGTTCGCAATGTCCAACTTGTTGCCCATGATAAATAACAATGACATGTGCTGTCTTCCCATCTCTGCCAGCTCTCCCAGCCTCTTGATGCTGATCTAAAATCGACCGGGCTGGCCCCCAGTTGATGATGAAACGAACGTCTGGGAAGTTGACGCCCATACAGAGTGCTGTGGTAGCAATAATCACACGTTTTACACCACCAGACTTGAACTGTTCCATCACTCTGTCTTTGCTACTTTGCCACGAATTCGAGTGATAAATACCTATTAAACAGTTGTCCTTTACAGACGAATAGTTAGGAAAAAATACTTTCTTCCCCAGCTGAGACATAAGGTAGTTCACAACGATGGCAATTTCGTTCATTGTATTACAGAACACAATTGTCTTTGGGGTGTTGATCCCCTCCTTTTTGACAAGGTCAACAAGCCAGTCGAGTTTTTTTAAATGCTGCTCTTTTTTCACTTTTTGGACTGAAAACCGTAAATTTAACCGGTTTGGACTCACATAAATAACTTCCACAGTTTGTGACAGATTCAGGGCTCTTTTTATTGTTTCGCGAGTTGTTGGGTCTGCTGTTCCCGTTAATGCACCAACAGGAGTACCTTAAAAGAGAGGAGTTACAATGTATAAGCTTATTGTAAATTATATGGTTCAAAGTCATATGATCAAGACATTTTGTGGCTGTGCTGAGTTTACTTTCCAAAAAAGTCACTTGGTTTAATTAAAGCAAATGTAGCGTATATAATTCCTCGAATAATAGCTAGTGATTTTTTTTTTTCTTTTTTTGCACCAAAAGGGGTGATTATTGGAGGGAAGGCAATTATGTTAGATATTGCTCACTAGAAGTTGTGCCCAATAATAATATTTTATAATATTTTGAACTATCAAATAAACTGAACATTTGGGCTATTGAGGTTATTGACTCTTCAGATGTAGAAGACACGACTGGGGGAATTCAGTTTGTAATGCCAGTTAGGAATCCTTATTCGCTATGAAACTTGAAAAAAAAACGTGTACAGGTCAAAACCACGGCTTTGTGTCAAACAAAATCTCCCAAGCATTATAGAAGAAAGCTTACGCTGAAAACCTGTCCGTAAATCGTGCCTGGTATAATTATAAAAGAAAACGTTACAAAATCCAAAAACTGTTACACTCACCAAAATCGCAATCCGTTTCAATCTACTTCGCTTTTTGCGGCTATTTTTATGTTTCACTTAATTGGGTGACAGTTCTCACGATTGAAAAAAATACATTTCCTGACACAAGCTATAAAACCAGTATGCACATCAAGTTAAGTGTACCATGCCAACAAGTTACCGTATATACTTCTGATATAAAAAAGCTCATGCTTACCTTTTTTACAAAAAGAACGTAGCATCCCAAGTTCTCCGAATGATGCACGGAAGGCATCTGTTTTTCCCTTTTTTGAAGCCCTGAGTTAAAACGAGAGAAGGAAAGTCGACCAATTCAATGTGAGCTAACCCTTGGCACAAGAAGACGCATTTAAAAACGTCGCTTGACGGAACACAAACCAAAATATACAAACCTTTGACCGGTCCAAGTCTCCACAGTGTGGGATTCGTCAACCACAATCGCACAAAGCTGCTGGTGAAAGGGTGAATCGGTCATCTTTAGGCAAGAAAGGAAGGGCTTTGAAAGAATCTCTTCGGCGGAACCGTAGATGATCTGGTATTTTCCGCTTGAGATGTCATCCAAGCGGCAGTTTCCGAGAGCGACTGCTTTCAAACCTAGCGAAGTGGCTTCTGCCAGTTGGTCCTGGATTATACTTTTAAGAGGACAAACGACCAAAACGCACGAGGCCTTCCCAGTTAAAGATTCAACCACTCGAACGAGGAGCTGAAAAATCAGGCTTTTTCCAAATCCAGTAGGCAGCACTGCGAGCAAATCTTCTCCTGATGTCAGTGTAGAAATCGCTTTGACTTGTTCAGTGCGTAAAACACGCGACATTCCAAGCCGCTCCAGTTCCAAAAGACTTCCTTCGAGAGCAGAGTTAAAATTCGAATTTCGGTCCGCCATTTTCTGAATTCAGAATAAATGTTCCCGCAGTTGCGTGCAAACGAAAACGGAATAAACAATATAAACTTACAGTTGATTGACAGGCATCAATCTACTCCCCCAAGCCGCACCAATCAGGAGCTCCGTTTGCCAGCGTACGGCGTTTCGCAAAAGAACAATGTTATCGGGCAG